AGTATTTAGAAAGTTTGAATTCTCATTTATTAAATGACTAACCATTTTATATTCCACTCTTTGGAGTAAAGACTATTTTTTCTTCATCATCCTTAAATATCCCTGTCCTCAGTCGTAGACTTGGGTCCGATGATGCGTGCATATCAATTAATAGATACCCGTATGGTTGATTCGTGGCTTGTCGATAGGCGTCAAGGAAATAATCTAGTCTTCCAGGAAAAAGCTGTACACCTATATTTCTTACTGCTAGAGCAGAATTTGGAGAACGCATTAGGACAATGTATTGAGCATTTTGTCTCGCAACCTTGATTTTACGATCGAATAAGTTTTGAGTTACAAAAATAATTGAAAAATTCTGGTGGTGGGATTTTTTTGTAAAGAGTTCAGATAAGTACTTTTCATCAATAGACAGAAGTAAGTCATCAAGAATTAAAAGAAGTGGCTTGGGAAATTTTTTTAATAATTCTTCAGGAGGGACACCGACAAACACATCAACTCCAGATTTTTGAAGTATTGGAACAATACTACTCATTTCACCAAAACAATACAATATACTCCTTGGTTTGGGATCAATCAAGTCTGACGCTTCCGAAATAAATTTTAATAGGAAAGTACTTTTACCACTTGAACTGGGACCTGATACGATCATACCAAAAGGCAATTTAAAATTTAAATCTTTATTAGAAAATGTTAGTGTTTCCATTTAAAATAATAATTAACTAAAATTTATTAACTTAAATACTATCAGTAAAATTAAAGGGGTGGCTGTAGATTTGTATCATCTGGATTGTTTACTACTTGTTTCTTAACCTCACTTTCTGTTGACATCATACCCATTGTAACAGCCTGCATAGAGTCATAAAACTCTAATAGGACTGTATCATCATTTTCTTTAATTGAAGGTTCTTCTTTGATAGGAGATAACTCTGTAGGGTTCTCTTGTGATGGCATTTCTGGTTGCGGAGATGCAGGAGGCGGTGTTAATAATTCCTGATGTGGTGCGAGAGGAGGAGACATAGGCGGGGGTGTTAATAATTCCTGGTTTGGAAGAGGAAGAGGTTGGGGTGGTGCTGGTGGGAGAGGTAATTGGTCAATTGCTTCACGTTTTAGACAATTTGAATTTTTAACTGAGCAAACATTTTGGGAACCATATGGAATATTCAAAACGCGGCCTTTATTCTTGATCTTAAGTTAAATACATTTTTAGCATTTTATGATTAATAACCTTAAAGAAACAATGCCCGGGCAGGTCGTAAATACAATCAAAAGGAACGAAGCGAGGTGACGATAAACGAGTACAATAGATTGTTATCCCCTCTTTTGTAACAATAAAATCTAATTCAACTTCAGTGCTTTTACACTCACGACAGCGGCCACCATGTTCAAAAGGGATGAATCTAGGAGTTGATATTCTTTCACTAGTCAGGGTAATCCCATTAGCTGTGAGATTGAAATCAACCTCGGGGATAATTTGGGAAGCCAAATATTCCTTGTCGTTCATATTAAGTGCCATTTTATTTAAATTTTTCGGAAATTAATTAGCTTCGTTCAAATTTTTTGTGCTTATATACCCTCGTCTCGCTTCGATAGTGTCAAATCGCTAACCTACAATCTCCTTCATCTATTTTTAAAAATGAAGCCAAGCCGACTTTGAAATGAAATGAAACCGGTTTTGAATATATTTTCTACAATAATAAAAAGTCACGCCTCTTTTGCGGTTAGATATATATCATTTTTATTTTCTAACCTCATTCTACTTAATTTACAACAAATTACTTTCATATTTCAATATATTTTTATTTAATTTTTTAAAATTTAAAATATGATACAGAACAGTTCATTGGGTGAGAAAAATATTATTTTACTTTAAAAACATTTAAGTTCTTATTGTAGAGGATGTGTATTGTGAACAAACCAAAGAAATTTCTGCTAAAAAACCTGTCAAATTAGAAAAGAATAAAGAATCATGTGGTCAAAACTCCTTAGGTATTTTAATAAAATAAATGTTTTCCATAAAAAATTTTTAAAGACGCAACGATTACTAATCCTTCTGTGGATATTAACAATACAAAAATTGTTAAAGAAACTACTGTTTGTGGACCAGTTGTTAAAAAACAACTTTGGAAACTTATACGTGGAAAATTTTTAATTACCTTCTACCTTTGTCAAGGTAAGAACAATTAAAATTTTATTCATAAATTAGTTTTTCAGAATGCCAAAACAATTTATTTTACTCACAAGAGAAATTTGGAGAAAATTCTACAGGTATTACATTAAAGATTGATCTATGTAATAAGTGTGTCGACGCTAACTGTAAAGCTACAGATATTCTTGCACCATATAAGAAGATTGGTCAAAAAAGAAAAGCCGATTAAATTAATTAAAATTGGAAAAATAAATTTTAACTCTTAATTGTTTACTTAAAATTTAAACGAATAAAATTATTTAATGACAATAAAATTATTTAAATGTTTAGTCTCTAATAATCCGAATAATGCAATCTAAGACTCAATTTTCTTATTAAAGTTCAATTTTTCGAATTCAATTTCAATATATAATAAAAGATTAGAGTCAAGTTGCTACTCTGCGTCTCTAACCTCAATTCCATCACCGTTCAATAGCTTTCATCTCAGCCAAACCCTACCGAATGAGCCACAAGGGTATTAAAAATACTTTAATAGTTTGATTTAAAATGTAATAAATTATACTTATATTGACTGATTATAATTCATTGAAAATTGATATTAGACTCTATACTCTAAATAGACTCTATTGACTATGACTAGACATTTCAATTTCTCTTCTGAACACACATATCTTTACTATATATTATGTACAAGCTTAGAAGAAAACAATTTGTCTGACTAGAGATTGATAGTTCACCCTACAATAAGAAAAGAGAAGAGAAAGGAGAGAAGGACAAAAAACCAGTCTTTAGAATCAGTCTGAGGAGAAAAGAGGAAAATTGAAAATTTCCAAATTTTTAACCCTAATAGAAATTTCTAGCCTAACTTAAATTTTAATAATCTATACTTACACCCTATCTAAAAATTATATAAAAATATACAAAGACATTTAATAATATTTACTTTTTAAAAATTTAAATGTTTAAAATATTTTTAAATTTTTATTCTTTATTAATTTCTTTAAATTTCATTAATTTCTTCTTCATTAATTTCTTTATTCCTTAAAAAGATGCTCGGGTGGATTCCATGGCTACCAGAGTTTCCATCTTTTTAAGCGTCTGTGCTGCTCGTGGATCCACAAATTTAGGAGCTGGGCGGTTCTACAAAAGAATATAAAATTATTTAAGAAATTTACTTATTTAAATTTAATAAATTATTATTAATTTGTAACATTATTTTACCTCAGAACGCACATCAATAACTAATGGACCAGGTAACCCAGCTTCACGAACATGGGCCTTAAATTGATAATTTAGATAAATAAAGTATGTTATTTTTAATTAAAAAGTACCAGTTCAGTAAGTGGAATATTTTGAATAATTTGTTGTTGTTGTTTTTGTCGTTTTTGATGTTGTTGGTGAGTTACTTTTTTGCGGCGATAGCATAGAGAGAACAACTGAATTACAAAAATAGATAATTTGTTAGAAAATTTAGGATTACTTTAAGACCCAGAGAGAGTATAATGAGCAAAAGTATTGTATTTAAAATAAATTTTTCGTAGCCCCCAAAACCAGAATTAATATAATTTTCTGGACGGGCCAAGAAATTATCAAACTCGGTAGGCAAAACAGTTGTGGGGATGCACAAACGAGGTTTGCTGTACGCCTCGGGTCGGATACAGTGCTGACCCGAGGTACAAGAGCAGTTAGTAAATGTCCAGTTCATTTTAGAAAAAATTAACTAAATAAAAATTTTAGGAAAACTTTATAAAATAAATCAAATGAATCATTATACTCTCTCTATTATTTACACAAATTTTCACGTAAACACCTATTTTACAACAATTTTTTGACTAATTTACATAAATTGGCACAAAAGAAAGCTTACATTTATTGAAAGAAACATATTGGTCCAAAAGATCAACACAGATCAACACTGTAAAAATTGCGTAACCAAACTCTAGGGCTTTTATTATAAACATTTATCTTAGGGAACATTTTTTGCGCCAACTAGCCAAAAAATGGAAAAAAAGGATTAGGTAAACATCTGTGTACAAATTAAAGTACACAGAAAAGATACCCCCAAAAGATCAACTCTTTGATTTTAAAATAATTAAAAAACATAAAAAATTTTATACAAAAATCAAAATAGTAATTGTCTCGTTCCACTCATTAAATTTGAAGCTCTAAAGAGAGCCGTTTGGGTTTAAGATCCATTCCATTTGAGTCCATGCATTTTTTCAAAAAAAAGTTTTTTGGTAAAGAATATCCATCATAAATAAATTTGTATCAAATAAAGAAAAAAAGAAGGAAAGGGGAAAGCTGAAATTATTAATTACTCCTTAAAATCGCCCTACCCCTAATTAATTCAAACAATCGCATTTCTTTTCCCTTCTCTCAATTTGTAAAATCGTCCCCCTCCAACCCCTATTAGCTCAATAGGTTGTTGTTTGCTCTAACGGACCCCACTACCCACCTTAACTGTTAAAAGATTGCGGTTAGGGTAAGGGTTAACAACTTAAAAAATCCCCTCCCCACCACACACCAATACTGTCAAAAGATTGCGGTTAAATGGGAAGGGTCAACAAATTACTCCTTAAAAAATCCCCTTCCTCTTACCCCCTCCCCCACCACTAATTTGAAAATCCTCCCCCTCCTACCACCCACTCACTCAATAGGATAAGGATAGCTCGCGCGGACCCCTCCCCCACCAAAGCTGTCAATAGGTTTAGGCTAGTGCGCGAACATAAATCATAATTAATTGCGGTTAACCACCCATCCAAAAGGATGGCGGCATCCCTTTGTGCGCAAAACGTTGGGTTAACTACTTTTTTAGATTTTTAAAATTATTTTTTCAGCTTTAGAAACAATAAAAATGTTGTTCAAATTACCAACAGAATCTTTATTGGATTTTTTAAAATTTCTCGATTATTCTAATTTATCAGTTTTACAACAAGTAAATAGCCAGTTTTTCTCTTTCATTCAACAATACAGAGACGAATTGGCACTCAAGGAATTTTCACATTTAGAAATTGTAGGGGAATTTTTCTGTTCGTTTTTAAGCCTAAAATTTTTTTAGATTTCTGAAAATGATGTCCGCCTTTCTAATTATCGAAGAGCTGTGGATGTTGTTAATGAAGTGGAGGATAGATATGGAAGTGAAGTTTATAATGTAGAATTAAATGAAGAGCAGAGAGAAAAGGTTTTTTATTTTTTTGGGACCTTGATTTTATGGTAAAATTTGACTTGTGCCCTTCCCCTTTCTTTCTAATAGAGTTAAAAATGGTCAGAATGATCTGAATAAAGACCTAATCCTTTTGATTGTATGGTATAGGGAAATAAAATAGGGTGAGGAAGTAAGAAGCGTCTGACCGTTTTTAATACTTTGACGAAGGAAGGGTGGAGAGGGTTGGATACGAAATTCATTTATTCTAGCGTTTGGCCTTATTATAAGATACGCCCTCTTACAATGTCTAATAGTCGACTTTCTCCACTCAATCAATAGCCAACCTGATTTAAGGTGTATAGGTGAAAATTGAGTGAAGGAAAAATTTGACTGGGACAAAATGTCACCTTATTTAATTTTTACTTATTTTTAGTTGATTTGGGCTGCTGAAACACAAATGCCTCTATATTTATCAGAAGTATTGCCTGATATGTCTCAAGCAAATGAGGTTGACAGTTTTTTAATTTTTATCTCAAGAAAGGATGTTGACAATGTTCAACAGCCCCAACTTTGTTTGGAATTGCCTTATTACCCAGAAACTCTCTCAGATTTTCTTTACACTCGCTTTTGGCTCTTTCAATTATCTCAATGCTATTTTGATTCAATAAACTTTTCTTGTGCTGTTTTTAATCCAGCAATTGTCCAGCTACTTTTTTGTTATTTTACTGAAGGAGCGGATCTTTTAGGGCCAGGTTTACTTTTTTTGATTTTTACGAATTTTAATTCTGAGTTTCTTCATAATCAGAAACTGAAATTTTGTTTCAGTTTCTGATATTTCGAACCATTGTCCTCTGATGGGCCTCTGGATTTTTTTTCCTTTTTGGCGACTAAATCAATTTTGTTTTCTTAGTAAATATGGGCACGACTCAATAGGGTCATTTGTTTGTGCTGGGGTTGGGGATGACAATTCCTGGGAAATTTTTGAATATTCGAAATTAGAAGCTATTTTAGGACCAAAAATTTTCGGATCTCCACTATTTTTCAGTTTCGGACATTCTGACCCGTTGTCCTTGGATGGGGGCCTTAGGATTTTTTGGATGCATCTTAAGTCCTCGAGTTGAAACTTTCATTCAATTTCATGAAAATTTTGATAAATTTTAAATCTTTCAATTAATAAGAACTTTTTCTTATCCTTATGCTCGTTTTTGATTGATTTAGTTGCCTGGAGGGAATAAAGTAGAAAAAAAGGAAAAATTTCGGAATACTGAACAGAAAGCAAATGGGTCAAATCATATGTCATTCGAAAGAGTTCGTCGAGTTGAGTCGAAATGTGAAAAAATTTTCGTGCGGACTCATACAGGGGCTGAGATATAGGCCTCCGAAAATCGAAAAACCATAGGGGGGACCAAGCTGTTTTTTGGGGTGAAAAATTCGAATATGCAAATTATACCTCATTCGAAAGAGCTCGTCAAGCTGAGTCGAATGACACCAAAATCAACGAAATCCGACTTCATATGGCCGAGTTACAGACCCCCGAAATTTGACGATTTTTGGGGTCAAAAAATTCGAATATGTAAATTATACCTCATTCGAAAGGGCTCGACGAGCTGAGTCGAATGACACCAAAATCAGCTTGATTGAATGATTTCAAACAAAGTTATGACAACGTAAACCTATGGGGCGTCGGCGAGGCGCTTGTGCAAAACCCCGCGCTTCGCGCGGGGTTTTGCGGCACGCGCCTCGCGGGGAGTCTACGGGCGCTGGGTCTGGGCTCGTAACTTAATCCTATTCCTATCATCGATGATGAGGTCATGCCTGGCTCCCTCCACAGCAACAAATATCTTCACGGAGCCCATAGGTAAGGAGCTCAAGCAAACGGTCATAACTTTGTCAAATCAAGTCGGATTTCGTTGATTTTGGTGTCATTCGACTCAGCATGATGAGCTCTTTCGAATGAGGTATAATTTGCATATTCGAATTTTTCACCCCAAAAAACAGCTTGGTCCCCCCTATGGTTTTTCGATTTTCGGAGGCCTATATCTCAGCCCCTGTATGAGTCCGCACGAAAATTTTTTCACATTTCGACTCAACTCGACGAGCTCTTTCGAATGACATATGATTTGACCCATTTGCTTTCTGTTCAGTATTCCGAAATTATACCGAAAAAAAATAGTGTTAGAATTGTAAGGGTTAGCACTGGGGACTTTAAGAATAAACAAATAAGAAAAACATTTCCAATTAAAATTTTATTTCCGAAATTTAAATATAATGTTGGCGAGCGTGGTTCCGCCAGCAAAAGCCAAAAAAAAAACAATGGGGGAAAAAGTAATAACTAAAAAGAGAATATAAAGCTTTATATCGTTCTCAAAATGGGAGGAGTTTCTTTGCCATTCTAGAGTGATGCAAAGGCGTATCCAGGGGGTCGGTTTCGGGGGGGGGCTAACACTGGGTGGGCGCAAAAATTTTTGGCGTTTACCTTGGCGTTCCTACGGCAAATTTTTTTGTACATAACTTTTTATATTTTCAGCGCCGCAGGCGAAAATTTTTTGGAATTTGGAGCCCAAGAAGCCAGATTTCTTCCTTTTTAGCGCCGCAGGCGAAAATTTTTTGAATTTTGGAAGGCCGTAGGCCAAAAAAATTCACTTTTTTTGCCCCAACCCTTTCTCAAATTTTTTCCTTTTCCCCATTTCGGGGGGGGGGGGGGCTCTAGCCCCCCCCCAGCCCCCCCTGGATACGCCCTTGGAGTGATGTATTACAGAATAAAAAATTTTAAATAAATTTTTTTCAATTTAAGCAATTTATTACCATGCCGGTAATGTTTGGTTAAATACTGGAAGTTTTATCAACGAAAATGTTGAGGAACACCAACACACGTTAACTTTTGTTGAAAAATATTTGAAGGTTTATAAAAAATTGAATCTTCGTGTTCATGCATATTTTGGCGATTTATTGAATTTTTTACTTTTTTCTGGTTGGAAAATTAAACAAGTTGTGTTTCCGTATGGACCCGGAAATTTAAATGTTGATTTGCACAATTTACTTGTTTATGTAAGGTTTTTTTGTTTAAATTTTTTGGGGGGAATTTGAGTTAAATTTTTTGAAGTTTTTGTTAACATTAAGGATGGGGGGCACTTCGAAATAAGTGAAAAGGAGGAAAAATTGGGAGAAGGATGATCGATTAAATCAAATATTTCTGCTTGCGACTTTCCAAATTTATAAAGTTTTCATCGACGTCGTCAAAATAAAAATATATGTAGGTTCAAAATAACGCCCAAATTTCATACCCAATTTTATCTCTTCCCCTGAAATCGACTCCTTGGCTATTGTCACTATCTTTTAGATTCGGACCAGAAATTTTTAGTTTCTTATATCGGAATTTAAAATTGACCAAGATAGACAAACAAGAAATATTTGAAGATTTTCAGATGGTGGGGAATCAATCACATTTTTAAAAATTGTCTGCTACCCCAAAAATAACAAAAGCTTTCTTTCTTTTTTCTAGGCATTATATTTTTACTAAATTATTTTTGGTACTAGCATTCATTGAAGTTAAAAAATTTTTTTTAATTTTTTAAGCATGCAGAAATGTCCAAAAATTGTCTTCAAATAATTCCAAAAATTTGTTTTGACAATGCTAACGATTTTCCATGGCCAGATTTATGTACCAAAACAAAAATTGTGGAAGAAGGGAATGTAGAAGGAGGTTTATATTTTACAAAATACAAAGTAGAGAATCGTTATTATTCTTCTGTTTATTTTTTAATTAAAATTTGTCATTTATTTGAGGCTCAGGAATTTAAGAGTTTTGAAATTGAGAGAATAAAGTATTAATAAAAATTGTTAATAAAAAAAGTTTTTTGTGTGACATTTTGGTGTTGTGACATTTTGTCTTTGTGACGTTTTGTTTTTGTGACAAAATGTCCTAGTGGCGAAATGTCGTTTGCACTTGATTATTTTTTAAATTTTTTAAAAATTTTTTTGTTAATTTTTTAGAGTATTGAGAAAACTTTTCACTTAAAAAAAGAGAAAGAAAATGTCTGGTGATTGTTCATCATCAAAAAGAACTTCACTTTCCTCATTTCAACAGCCCTTAAATAGTTGTACTAATGCATCTTCTGATGTTGAACAATTTAGAATTAATGAGGTTTTTTCTTGTTTTAAATTTTTATACAATTTTTAAATTAAATTTTGAACACTATAAAGAAGAAAATTTTTAAAAATTTCGCTATTTTTCTTATTTTGTTGTTTATGGTTAAGTGGGATAATTTTCTTTTTAGTTGATCAAGGTTCGAATCCATCTAAGAGTTAATTATTTTTAAGGGATGAATACATATATTTTTCAGTATTAAATGACCAAATTTAATTTTTTGAAGCTAAAAACCTGTTTAATAATAAATAAATTTTTAGACAATTCGAATTCGTGAAAGCTTGGCAGATTTAAATTCTAAAGATCTCAGAAATTATTTTAAAGGAGTGAGGAAATTGTGTGATGAATTGGAAGCTAAAAAGGAAGATTTGGAGGTTTTGTTTAAATTTATTGAAAATAATTTTCTAATGAAAAAAGATTGTTATTGATAACCTTTTTGCGAATTTTTTATTTACTAATTAAGTACCGGACTGATTTTGAGTGAAAATATGACAATCTTCTCTTTTGGAAAAGTCCACTAAAATTAAGAAAAAAGTTCCATAGCATCCGTAAAGTTCGAAAAAAAATTGAGAAAACGGTAATAGTGTCGTTTCCAGTCCCCCTTTTTTCCTCCGCAAGTTTTCTCCTATAATTTGTACAGAATGGACAGACTTTCCTTCCAATTGCCTTCCTTTTTCTAAAGAACTGGATAAAAAAATCATTTTTGATTGTTTGTGGGTAAAATATAGTAAGGCAATTGTGATCGAAGAAGGAAAAGTCTTTCCATTTTGTATAAATTTATAAAAAAACTTGGGGAGGAAAAAAAGGGGGACTGGAAACGACACTATTACCGAGAAAACTTCACAAAATCGGAAAGTCCGCAAAGATCATCGCAAAATTGACCTTCGTTTCTTTAAAAATTTTTTCAAAGAAATTTTTTTCTTTCCTTAAAAAAACAAATTTTTAGGTAGATTCAATTGTCCATCAACAAAATTTAAAGCAAATGGAAGCTTCCTTAAAACAACTAAAAAACAATTTATCTTCAACTAGAGAAAAAATATTTAACGAAAATTTGCTTTTGGTTGATTTGTTTAATAAATGTAATGAAAAAATTAAAGAGGTTTTTTTTTTAATTTTTTTGAGATTAAAAAATTAAAAAAAAAATTTATTTTTAGGCAGCTCCAGAATTATTCGAAAAAATTGAAATTTTACGAGAATTGCAGCAAAAACAAAGTTATTTAAAATTTTTAAAATATTTTGTGAATTTGAGAGATGAAATTAGAAGGTGTTTAAGAAAAGGAAATTATTCCTTGTTGTTGGATAATTATCGAAAATTGCGGAAAATACCTAAAGAAAATATTGAGGTTGTTTTTTAAATTTATGTCAGTCTATTTTAGAGACCGGAATTTTGTATTGCACTGGGATTAGAAGTGTTTAAGAGGGGATTAACGGGGATATCTAACAAGTAACAATATTGAACTGTTACCAAAAATTTCGAAATAATTTTTATACCATCGGGTAGAGCATAGCCGAAAACCTACTATGGTGCCCGTCTTTTACGGCCCTACCCCCTATTTCGAAAAGTTATAGGACTTCAAAGTTTTTTGACTTTTGGAGCAGTTGAGTCGCATTTTTAGAGGATATTGAGGATTTGTGGGGATTAAAATGGATTCCAATGTTTTTGGGGATAAAGAGGGATTTGGGGGATTAAGGAGGATATGATGGATTTGAACAATTAAAATATGTATATCCCAGATTTTTCCCTTAATACTTCAAGGGCGTAGCCAGGGGGCTTTTGAGACTATAACTCTTCCTGGGGAAACTGAAGAAATTCTGGGAGGGAAATGATAACAAAAGTGAATTTTTCCCCCCAATCGATTTTTTTCCCCTAAGCTCCCCAATCGACCCCGTAACATCGCTCTTTTAATACCTACATATCCACTGATATCCCTCCAAATCCCCTAATATGCCATTACTCCCTCGGTTTCCTTAAAAATCTCAAATATTTTTTTCTCTTGCCTCAATTATTTTCCAAATATTCTCCAATTAATATTCTTTTAATTTCTTAGTATTTAATGGTTAAAGACTGTCGTCGAGATTATACAGTCAAATCAGCCTCTTTAGCTCAATTTTTACAATTAGAATTAAATTCAACTCTTTTTCTTGTATTTTCTCGTATTCACTTTCCTTTTGAAGAACCGGTTGATTTTAATACTTTAAAGCCTCAACTTGTTCAAACTGCTCAAATTTTGAAGTGTTTAAGATTGGTTTGTGATTTTTTCTAATTTTTAATTAAAAAAGTTGAGTGAGACATTTGGTCCCAAATCTTAAAAATAATTTTTTAAAACATTTTTCTAGTTGAATTTAAAAAATTGAGACATTTGGTCCCAAATTTTCAAAAATCTGAAAATATTTTTCGAAAAATTTTTGTGAGACATTTGGTCCCAAAATCTTTTGAAAGCCCAATCCGAACCCTAACCCAGCTTTTTTCTCTCAATCCGCCCTATCTCTAAATAAGAGGTTGAATATGGTCCCAAAATGTCTAAACCCTTGAAAATTGTTAAAAAAAATTTTTAGGTCAATCTGATAAGGTGACATTTTTTCCCAAAGTTCTAAAACCTTGAAATTAATTTTTTTATTATCTATATGAATTTAAATAGAGAGGGGGCGGGGGTGACATTTGTTCCCTCTATTAAGAAACTCGAAAATTTTTTGGAAATTTTAGATAAAATTTTTAAAAGGATGACATTTGGTCCCAAAATGTCAAAAACTTTCAAAGAATTTTTTAAAAATTTTTTAGATAAATTTTTAAAAAGTTGAGACATTTGGTCCAAGCATCAGAAAACCTAAAATAATTTTTCAAAAAATTTTTTATTTTTCTAGATAAATATTGAAGCATCCCCAGCCAAAAATAGCGAAAAAGAATTGTCACCAAGTGAAGAGCCAATGGAACTAGTTTTGGGTGAATTTGATAAACGTTTTAATTATCACTTTTATGGAGACAAAAAAACTAATTTACCTAGCAAACCAGAATGGTTTTTCTCACAACTTTCTTGTTGGGCAGAAAATAATTTGGAATATTTTGAAGTTTATCTACAACCATTTGTTGATGAGGTTTTTTGTTTGAATATAATTTTTTAGATTTTTTGGAGTCTCCTTTTTCATTTTAATGAGGCTTGGGTTGTTTTTAATATTTCTTAACACAAAAATATTGAAAAAAATTTTTTGGGGGAAATAAAAGGATTTTAGTGTTATTAGAATTCTGGGCGACTAGTTAATTTCAGCTTAATTTCAGCAAGGTTTAACTCGAACATTTTTCGATTCGAAACCCGATACTGAAAATGTTTTTTGAAAAACTGATTCTAACCCGACTTTTTTGCTCTCAATCCGTCCCATCCCTAAATAATCAGACCTTTGCTATACCAAATTCAACATTTTGACCTTTATGGAGAAAAGACGGGAAAAACGTTTCCTTCTCCACAGATGGAGAAAGAAAAATTGAAGACTGAGTGAAAAACGATTATTTAAACCCAAGGGCTTAGCCAGGGGCGCTGAAAAAATAAAAATATAATTCAAAAAAATTTGCGTTGGGAACGCCAGAGTAAACGCCAAAATTTTGGCGCACACCCAATTTTAGCCCCTCACCTGAAATCGACACTTTAGCACTCCCTTGCTTAAGCTACGCCCTTGCTTAAATCTGTAAAAAATAAAATAAATTTTCTAACAAAAAAACTAAATAGATGCAAAACAACACCAAAAACAACATTTATCTAAAACAATCAACAACAACAGCTAAACAAATATTTTTAGAAAGATTAATGAAATTAGCATCAGAAAAAGTGTCAGATTTATTTAAAAATGAAAAATTAATTCAAGAACGTCGACAACTTTCAAATTTAATTGATGAATGTGTTTTATTTGAAAGAGAAATGTTGGAAAATTTTGGTTATTTGGAAGAATCTGAAATTCATGTAATTTCTACTCTCTGTAATTTTGACAAAGTTTTGGAAGCTTGGATAAGATTGGAAAGGGATACGCTTTCTGCTGGGGTAGATGCTATTTTGGCTGATAATAATGCTTATGAACCTAGATATAAGGAAGCGGCTGATGTTGATCCGGTTTATTTTTTAATTTTATTTTTAAATTGTTTTCTCCCAAAGGGGTTCGAACCTTCGACCCCATTTTGATTGAATTCTAAGCATTATCCCACTACATCACAATGCCAAATTTTTTGGAGTGTTTAGGATGATTGGGGCGATTGATTTTTATGGTGAAATGAGCTCTATTTTATCATTTAAATATTCAGAAATTTTTTTTAGATTTATTATCACCCCTAAATCGGGGATATTAGAGGATCAATTACATTTATACTCAAATTTACGCTTTTTTGCCTAATCTGATACACCCAACACTGACTTTTTTTCTCAATCCAGTGGGGTCGAAGGTTCGAACCCCATTTTTCAGGACCCGATCCGAAGAAAATTTTGATGAACACCCCAGAACCAGACATTTACATTTTTGTCAATCTTACTCATCCCTGCCATCATTAGATTTCTTTTAATGGGAAGCGTCGTTATCCACCCTCTCTCCTCGGCCTAAATTTTTGAATTCTTGCCCCATTTTCCAGTTTCTAATAATAAATAATTTATTATTTTTTCAGTATTTGGTCCCCAATTTTGCCGATTCATTTGTAATCTTAATGCAATCAATGTCAGAACGTTATCGTTCAATTCCCGATATGAAAATTCAATGTCGTTTTCTTAAATTACAACTTTTAATAGTTGATGAATTTAGAAGTAGAATTGTACGAATTGGACAGGCAAATAATCATAATTGTTTTTGTACACCTTTTCCACAACTTTTAAATGCTTTATGGTTTTTTTTGAATTTTTTATTTTAAGGAGAAAAAATTTTTTTTTCTTTAAAGGTATTTAACTTTACTTTTGGATGATTGGAGTGATTCACCCGAATTTGTCCGTCTTCAATTTTTCTTACAACAACACCAACAAACCAATGGTTTATTTTAATTGATTCTGTTTGAAATTTTAAAAAATTTTTAAAAGAAACCTATGTTAAAATACCCTCGTTAATAGATAACTCTATTTAGGATACTTTTTCCAACATTTGGATAACCAACGGGTTGGAGGATTTTTTAAGCAATACACACCAAAATTTACTATACACCAGGGGTGTGCCGAAAAATATCTTAAATAGAGGGTATCACTACTTTTCACTTTCAATGGCCAAAATAAAAAACGAAAATGTAGCTTATTCTACATAAGTGAGTTTGAATTGGGGAGTCTAGTATCTAGAGATCGGGCCCTGAAAATGACCCTGAGATAAGTCCGAAAATGATATTCGACTATGTATTCTATTTATTTTTTTAAAGATTCCCATTCACAACAACAACAAACTTCTACCACCTCTTCATCCTCTTCCCAACAATCAACAAATTTAATAAATTCATTAGCTAGAGGAACTTTTGATGAAAATGCTTCATTATATCGACATGTTTGGCGTTTATGGGTTAGAAATATTTGTGAACAATTTTCTGAATTAATTAGCAAAAAATTGACGTTAAAATATTCAAATGAAAAATGGTATGATTGGGAAGGGCCTCCAAAACCTTCAGAAATTACACCTTCTTTTGAACCTTTTTTACGCAAAGTTAAAGAATTGTTGGAATGGTTAAGTTCAAATATTTCGTCAGATTCTGTGCTAACTTTTCAACATTTGACAAATCATGAAATTTGGACAGCTTTGGATTTGTGTGTTATTTCACAGACTGCTTTTAAGTAAGTTTTGGTTTCTTTAGGGCGGTTAACGACCGGTTAATTTTCGTCTGTGGCTGCTAAAATGGAGAATTTTAAGAGCAAGTTGAACAGCTACAGGCAAAAATTAACAGGTCACCTACAACCCTAGTTTATAAATGGGGGGGGGGGGCTATTTTCTTGTTCTGAAACATGTCATTGATGTATAAAAATTCTAGAACGTGTATTCTAGCTGGGAAAATATTAAATATAGGATAAAAGATGTCAGTCCCCAAAGTCAACTTGTGTATATTGGAGAAATTCTAACTGCTCTTCTAGTTAGATTTTTAGTTTTTTAAACTTCATCTTGCCGAAAGTGCCCCTCACTCTATTCGGAACCTCAAAATTAGGATTGTTTCCAAAAATTAGAATTCGATATTTAATGAACAACAAAAATCCTAAAGGTCCAAATCCTAGTGTCTATTTTTTATATTTTTTTTTCACAAAATTTTTAGTTATCGTGGAGCAGCCCAAATATTGTATGATACAACAAATGCTTTAATTCCCCTATTAAATCAATGCTATGGAAAAATGCGGGGTGCTGGAGTTTTTGATGTTTTTAATGAAGTAGATTTTTTCGTAGAAAATTTTTTAACTTCTTAAATTTTCAAGAAATGTATTTCTGTTCTTTCCACACTTCGTCTACTTTCCTTACCTCCCCCAACAGCTATATTACTCAAAGATGAAATTAAAAATATTCCGGAACAACAATTAGATTCAAAATTGGAACAATTTGATATTATTGGAATTAATAAAGCTAAAGTAATTCAAATTTTTGAACAAAGATGTGATTTGGTAGCTATTGAAAAATTAATTAGTTGATGAAGATTTTTTTGTTTACTTTTGGACTGTGATTTTTTCTAATATAGTAAAAAAAAATTTTAATTGCTTTAGAATAATGAACAGGGCCGTCCAAGTTATGCAAGGAAAATCAAAAAATATCCTCAAAATATATATGCACAGAAAAAGCTCAAAATATCCACTGAAGTATGCAAAATTCTCCCAAAACAAATATGCAAAATTTTCCGTGTATACCCTGTACTAATGCCCTCCCTCAAATAATTACCCCACTTCCATTAATTACCCCATCCAGCGATAGATTGAAACATACAGCGATGGATTGAACACTTTTGCACCTTACTGTAGACCCTATACTAGATAATTTCAATTTAAGATACGTTCTTAGAATTTGGTTGGTCATTGAGTTGGGAGAGAGAGGGGAGGGAGTTGTTATACCCTCTATTTAATATAATCCTAGTTATAAGATAAAATTTCTTCAGGTCCAAGGGTTTATTTTATAAATAAATTCTATTGCACAAAAATATCAAACTCATTTTTAGAACAGGCAAAACTACATTATTTATAAAGATTCTCTTTAAATCATTGCAATTGTCCTCTTCTCTTTAAACAAACTTTTTCCTTTTCTTCCCAAAAGTTGTAAACCCCTTTTAAATGGATTTGATGATGGATTAAGCAATCCTCGCAGATTAAATATATGCTGTGCTGAATTAGCCTGATATATTTTAACGTGGACATTGCGTGCTTGAATTATATCTCCAGCTTTTAAAGCTTTGGCCTGTTCGGCAAATTCATCTGCAAAAAAATTTTTTTAAATTTTTTTTATGAAAAAATACTTTAATTTAGAATAAAAAATCAGCCACAACTATCATTAAAAAATGTTTTTCCGCTACCAGGATTCGAACCCGAGACCCTTTGGAAAATAGTCGATTGGTAAACCCAATATTTTCCAACTATACCACAAGCTAATTTTGAGTTGTCACATATGAGGGGCGTGGCGCGAATTTTGCGAACCAGAAAATTTGCGTTACGAAAGTTGCGGACCCTAAAGTTGCATCCACAAAATCCGGAACCGCAAGTTTCGAGTCCGCAAATTTCTGATCCGCAAGTTTTGAGTCCGCAATATTCGATTCGCCATGAAGGGGATATTATTGGAAAATATTATTCTTCTAGATAAACAATTCAGTATTTTATAGAGCTCTCGACAAAAACACCAGAACCTCAAAAATTCCAAATTTCTTTTAATTACTAAAAATCCCCTACCAAAACAACTAAATACTTGAACATATTCCCTCATATTTTCATAATTAAGATTTCCATCAAATAAATCATCCAAAACGTGATAACTTGGTTCTGTCATCAAAAAAGGTTTTGTAGGCCTAAAAATTTGATTTTTAAAAAATAAAAAAAATTATTTTTACTTACGATGCCAATTTTGTCCCATCACAAACATACAAATAAACAGGACATCCATTTTTAATGTCTTCTTTAGAAGGGGAAGTTATTGAAAATACCTTGAGAAATAATTAGAAATTTTTTTGTCTAGTCTATATGTGATATCAAAAAGTTGTTACACCATTTTGGGTTGAAAAATGGTTACTTAAATGAGGAATATTTAAGGGAACGCCAGGTGTATTCCGAAACAGATTTTAAAAAATGAAAGGCAAAAGTCCCAAAAAGGCGAAATTTTGGCGAAAGAACGGAAGGTGAAAAGGCACACTCAGAAGCACACTCTCCTGGCGAGCACCCAATTATATGTAGCCCTCTAAAATCAGACCGGTACCGTTTGAAGTACTTAAAGTGGGGTCTCGGTCATCAAAAATTTATTGGGGTTTGAAACCTATATCGACTAGGATGGGATTATGGATCACCCAACAGCTTTTCAAATTAATTTTGGGTAATATAGCCAATTTTTAAAAATAAATGGGAGGTTATGCTGGCAAAATCAACTGCCAAAAAAAATCTCCCAACATTAAGGAACCCAAAAATAAATTTCGGAAATTAAAAAATTTGGAACTCATAAACTTGGCAATCCCAAAGCTTAAATAATCCCCCCAAAAAAATTTTTTTTTAAAAAAACCTCTCACCAAACAATTTATCTCAAAATATTGCCCAAAATCGCGATTGTAAAAGTCCAATTCAGCAAAATTAAAAAGGCGTCCTTTTCTCCATTTAATTAAATATTTGGACAAATCTTGCATAAATAAATCATCCAAATAAATATTTTGTTTTTGAATTGGTGGAAGAGGAGTTGAAGGATTAACTAATTGAGTATTTGTTGTTGAATCGTTTTGAAGGATATTTGGGGTTGTAGAAATTGTTGTTGAGTCTAAAATTGATTTTAAAAATTTTGGGAACAAACACGTAACCAAAGGAATAAACACAAAAAACTGGGGGGTTTTTTGGGGTATATTTTCCACACAAAAATTTTTTCCTCGTTACTGGGTAGAATAGCTAGAAAAATTCAGATTAGAATTGACAAGGGAACCTTCCGAACTGTGACTTTTCGAAATGGGGGTCTGAGCCGGAAAAGCCAGATATAGGAATAGGCTATCGACCATGCTCTACACGATGGTATAATTTTTATTTAAAAATTTTTGGTCACAGTTCGGAAGGTTCCCTTGTGAGTCGAGCTTTCAAAATTGATCGAATTTTGGTGGTAAAGAAAGTAAAGGGATTTGAATACTTCGACCCATCCCTAATTCAGAAATTAAAAATTTTTAAAAATACGGGGGTCGTTTTGTCGCCCCAAAGAAAGATTTTTCAAGTTTGCTTAATCCCACTTTTTAATATTTTTTGGGTAGGGAATTTATTTTTATAATCCTTCAGGCCCGTAGCGTGGAAAGGGGGAAATCCTCCCCAGAAAAAAATCCTGGCTGCGGGCTTGAAACAATCTATACGAGTTCTTTCAAAAAAGGGGAAATTTCCCAGTATTCCACCCAACCCAGAAACCCCCAAAAATTAAATAAAACCTTTCGCAGGTTCCTTTGTCTGCACTGGAGATGTATTTAATCTGGAGGAATCTGCAGTCAAAGAATCCGGATTTGAAAAGCTAATACACTCATCAAAGCTATTATCAAAGTCACAATCATTAGTTGAACCTTCATGTTGAACCTTTTTGGATGAAATTTGTTGAGAATTAAGATTTTGTTGGGAGGAAATATTTTCTTTGTTTTGGACTTGTTTCTAAAACGAAAAAATTTTGGGAAAATTTTCAAAATTTCTTTTCTAAAAATTTTTTTTCCTAAAAGAAACCCCAAAAATTTTATAGAAGCTTTTTTAACTTAAGTCAATACCTATGCGTTAGCAAAGCTGTAGTTTATTAATGTTTTGCCCAGACTAGGACATGGATACAGATATTGTAAACATGCCTGCGGATATCCTTCTCTATCCGCCGTAAATATCAGGATACGGATACCGAAATCAGTATCCGTTTCCTAGTCTGGTTTTGCCTACTTTTGTGGACAGCTTTGCTAACACATAGATATTCATCCGCGTTCAAAAAGCTCGTCTAAAATTTTTTTGGGTTTTAGGGGAAAACTTTAAAACTATTTAAAAAACCTGTTTTTTCCTTTCACTTTCTTCAAACGATTTTTCAACCTCAACAAATGACTCATCAAGTAAATTCTCTTTATTACTATTTAAATTGTCTCCATTTTGTTCCTTTAATAATTCAGCCCCAATTTTGAGAAGGTTAGAAAGTTGTTCAATTATTTTTTGTTGTTGTTCGAGTATTGACTGGGCATATTTTGGAATGTCTTCTCCATCAATTTGTTGATTAATAATTATGACATTTTGAAAATCTAACATTTCAATTGAATCAATAAATTGTTGTCTTTTGGAGGTAAATGAATTTTGTTTTGGTGGGTCAAGTGAAGGATGTGGACGCTTAGTCATGTCTAAAAAACTATTAGAAAAAAAAAATAAGCAGAAATAATTGAAACAGCCTCAAAAAATTTATTTTCCGCTGATAAAAAATTTTGGGATCAAATGTCCAACTATGTTGACATTTGATCCCTGGACGATTGAGTGCCTTAGTTGAGAGTGGACAGTATACAGTCAGATTTATCACTACCGTCTAAATAAGCTTCATTGTTTACCCTCTCTCAAATTATCACTCCCGCTTTATTAATTACCCCCTCCATCGAGAGGTCGAAACAATAATTACCCAGGGTAATCGGTAATCTTTTTAATAATGAAAGATTTTAATTATTACTGAATGCCAAAAAATTCTTTATGCTTTCCTACTTTTATCTTCTCCAAAAAAAAAGAAACAAATTTAAATACCCTAAATCCTCTATTATAATACCACACTATTTTACTATGCAGTTAAAAATCAACTACACGGACACCAGAAAATTTCTCCTCTGAAAAATATTTTTCATTTAAGTTGTGGCATTCTAATAGAGGACTTCAAAAGTGTGTTAAATATAACTTTTCCCCCAATAACTTTCTAAAAGTATCCTTTCTCTTCAATTCTATCAAAATTTCATCCTCATTTATCGTAATATCCTCTCTCAATTATCACCTCCTCTTCCTCGACTTCCTCCATTTCCACCTCCATTTCCTCCTCCATTTCCTCGGCTTCCTCGATTGCGACGGCCTCGCTGAGCAACGCGTTGACCATTTCCACCATTTCCTCCGTTGCCATCATCTTCTCGAGAACGACGTCTTCCACTGCTACCTCCAGCTTCACCGCTGCCTCCAGCTTCCCCGCTGCCTCCAGCTTCTCCCGTTTGTCCAGCAACGGGTGTTGCAGGTGGATTGTATTGGATGTAAAGCTAAATATGATCAATTTAACTAAAGAATATATTGCTAATCTATTCTTGTTTCATTACATTTCTAACGATAATTCTGTATTTTTGAGGGGCATAAGGTCAGTAACAATTATCGCCAAAGAGAAACTATGAAAAATTGACCAAATGATACTTTTTGAGACAAGGAACAGATGATCGGGGGGGGGGGGTGGAGGGGATAACCAAGTACCCATGTTGTCTCGACCAGGGGTGCCACGGATTGAGAGAAATGTCGGGTAGGGTAGGACTTAGGGGAAAAAGTCCGGGATTCAAAAGTCAGGGGTTCGGGTAACATTTGACAGCGCTGGTCCCGTGACACCTCAAAAAATTCATTATCAATACGATACACTGTCCGATAATTATAAACGCAACCATATTTTTTGAATTTTACACTTGAAATCTAAGTATTTTTTTCGACTTTTCGTGTAATGATTGTACCTCTCGAACTTGTGGTGGGATTCTTGATATACCAATTTCCTCTAAGGCCGTTAATTCATGGTTATAAACCAAAGCATGATTGCTTATTAGATCAATCAATTGACCATTTATATAATATTGTTTAAGTCTATTTTGAAGATCCTCCTCACGTATTTCATCAACATATGGAGAATATAAGAGTTTGTATAAATCGTATGTATTTGGTCGCCGGCCTTGGATTAGGTAAGGTTCAAAAGCCTCGAATTCTTCGCTGGTTATTTGCCGTGGACTTTCGGTCACTTAAATTTTAATAGTTTAGTACAAGTTGAAATTATCATATTGTAAAGCTCATGTCGGGCTAACTCATGAGTTGGTCATTCCTTGAGTTGGTCGTTCCTTGACCTGTCTTTTCCTTGACTTGTCTGTTCCTTGAGTTGGTATGCTCCATGAGATGGTCGTTCCTTGAGTTAGCCCCCACCCGTAAGGCTGGCGAGGTCTTTATAGCCTAGCTAATAAAGCGAAGATGGAAACCACAAGCCAGAAATGATGAAAACTGGTAGGTATTTGGGTAGGTAGCTGGTAAATTAGTAGGTATAAGTGATGTCAAAGTTCCAGTTCCAGAACTAGAACTACGGAACTAGTAAATGCCTGGAACTAGCTTGGAACTGTAACTACGGAACTAGTAAATGTCTTGGACTAGCTTTGGAACTAGTTCTGGAACTGGAACTAGTTCCAGAGAAATTTTGGAACTTTGACATCACTGGTAGGTATCTGTTTTGTTCAGATTTTGTTCAAAGACATCAAAACAACATTATCAACTAACATCATCAATGTTGGAATTACTAAGCGAATGGATAAAGCTCCTCCCGAAGCTCAAGCCTGAATTTTGAAATGCCCGGACCAGGCAGCCGAAGTCTTATTTATTAAAATTACTTGGGTGTGTGTTAATAAGCGATACGTATCGCTGCATCTCTCCAAAATTATTTATGTTCTCATAGGCCGTGTCGCATTGACACTGAACAGGATATGCTCCATCTGTCAATTCCAACTCGTCGGTTTGAAGATCTCTAACCAAACTTCCAATCCCTTAATTTTAAATCTAAGAACGATTTTATCAACTATATCACCTTGTATAGTATTAAAAGCTCTATTTGCCAACATATTATGCAGTTTGTTTGCAGTTATTTCATGTTCATCGAAAAAATAGAAATAATCAACAATTGATAATTGAACTCTTAAAATTTCAGAAAGTGAACTAAATTTTAACTGACAGGGGATAGTAGTTAGCACACGCAACCTGCACTGAACGCGGGAGACTCAGGTTCGATGCCTGGCAATTGTTGAGTCGATGTATAGCACTTAGTGTAGTCCCTGTTATAGGTCTAGATTTGTTCTTAAATCCCGAGGCAGAAAGTTATTATATCTTTTTCCAACACTTTGTCTATAATCCTCGAATCTTTAACACTCTCATTCAAGTAAACTTGTGGTTGATTTAATTAAAAAGGATATGAACGGGAAGAACCAACCAAAAGAAGGGAAACCATTTGAGACGGAAACTAGACAACAGAGGTGGGTCGGAATTCCGATTTCCGACTTTTGAGCCATTTCCGATAGCCGACAGTTCCGATTTCCGACACCTCTGACTGTTCCGACCCACCTCTGCTAGACAACTACCTTTTCCACTCATTCTTGTCATCCATTTTAAGAAAAGGCAAACGTCGAAAAAGATCCATATATGCAGGTGAACAATCTCGGATTAATGACAAAATCAGTCTTCGTACTAAAACGAATAATTTGTAGTAAAGAAATAAATTTCTCTCCGCATGTAAAATGTTGAGCAAAAAGTCTTTAAGTTGTGTTAATTGCCCATTACTAAATTGTTAATAAAATTATCTATTAGATTTTAATTTATACTTGATCAGAATAAGGTGATAAATTAGCTAATAGATGTGGGGTTATCGTTTAGGAATCGGACAAAAAACGGAGGGGGTTTTCATATATGTAAGTTCCCTATTTGTCTCTATCAGGGGTGTGTAGGAGATGATTTTAAGGTGTGCGGAGATATCGGGACGGCCATATCGGGAGTGAGGTGACAAAAATAATTTTTATGTTCTAGATTTTTATGTTATAAAACATAAAAACTCTATTCCAATAGGACAATATGCTATCGAAGACCCAGTGGCCGTAGGTCCCGAAATCAGTAGGGTAACTGTTCGTAATTGAAATATCCCGATAATGTCCGCGTGCCGATATGTCCACGTGCCGATTTTAAAATGGAAAAGAAGGAAATCGAAAAGGTACCCTTTAAGCTCGAAAAGGTACCCTTTAATTCAAAGACCTCGGTTAAATTTGAGAGAAAAATTTCAAAAATTTTAAATTTAATTTATACAAATTTTACCGAATATTCCATAATGAAGCAGGAATATTGTCCATATTTCGGCCAACATCAAACTCGTCTATATCTAAGCCATAACCTTCAACAAATTCAATCCCTCCAACAATTTGTCTATAATCCTCGATTCTTTTATTAAGAAAACGAAGTTTTCCGTGTCTTTCCAAGCGTGAGTAATGGGTTTTTACAAGTCCTTCGTGAGTGTTAAGAACATTTGTGAAATAATCAAACACCTTTAAATGTTCAAATTCAAAAATATAACTGGTTGAAAGGCGGCCATTTTTCTTGTGGGGTTAACCCCTTTTACATTAAAAATAATAAAGTCTGGGCCCTTTCCCTGATGGTTAAATTCCATCTCCCATCCAATAAGAGCCAAACCGGAAATCGGAATGCCGACAGACCTCTGCTTACGATTACTTACTATAATCGGTCCAGTTTGTCGTTCGGTTTTGGTTAACCGAAGAATTTGGTGAAACCGACTACCCTACCTTTTTATTCTTCCCTATAGAGATTTTCCGTTTAGAACCATTCGTCTAAATCGTTTTAATTGTACTTCACTCCCACTTAAATTGTCAGACTCCCACTTATATCAGACTCCTACATTCACTCCTACTTGAATATAGGTAGCTTTAGTACCTGTTGTATTTTATCTAGAAGACCGTGCTCGCCGATTGGATCATTTCGAGGCAAACTAGCCCTATCTAGAGCCAATGCTCCTTCGAGAGCTAGTAAGATTTTTAAAGTTATTGGCACACCATTGATTTGTAAATCATAAACATTGAAAGCATTTCCAGCTCTATTAGTTTCGGTTGAATCCAAAATTTTCATGAGAAAGGACAACTCAGTGAGAGAAAACGTGGGAGGATTGGCATGAACTTGTTGGGGTTGACCAGTTTGCATTATCCCTATTTTTAAAATTAGAGAATAAAAAAACACTAAAGTTACTAGGAGCCCTTCGCATTCCTTTGACAAGAAGAGGAGCAAATCCAACAAGAATGAAGACAAGAAGTGTCTTGGAAAATGTATTAAAATACATTTTAGTAAAAAATTTTGTTCGGTTTCGAAAAAAAAATTTCTGAAATTTAAAAAAATTTTTTATAAATTGCCCATCTTTATAAGCGTCCTGTAGCAAAGACATAAACTATTCTTAAAATTTTCACCCCAAAATATTATTAGCTTTGGCGGACAGAAATTCTAAAAGTACCAGGGATAGGCTTTCTTCCGCTTCTGTATTTTCCCGTTTGAATATCACTTCAGTTCAATTGCTAATAAGCCGGCTAACAATAAGTCCTACTGCCAGTCTACCAAATAAAACAAAAATGGAAACGGTCAGTATAT